TAACCGATGAGGCTTGGGTTGAAAAAAGGCACAAAGTGGACGTTTGGACATAGCGCGCTCGCAAGAGAAAATGGTGTACGCTAGTCCTACCTAATTTCTAGTGAGCCATCAAGGTAAAAATCTTTGTTTACGCACGGTCGTGCCTAAATAACATGACGCGAACGTGTGCAGTTTCATTTATGCTGCAAACTGATTTCCGTCTTGTTTAGCTGCGAGTTCCTTTTGCTCAAGTTTCGGCAATGTGAACATCATTCTGAACGGTCCAAACCCTACTTCGAGCCTTTGACTTTTGTCAAGCTAAGAGTTCTACTAAAACTTGAGTATTTTGACTCTTTTTGTCTACATTTTCATTGAGAATTTTGACTTTGTTTGCCAATATATTTATTATTCGAAGTAGCGAATTATAATTGACAACTTTAGAAACCAGATGAAGTGTTTTCGTTCAACGGTTGCTCAACTAGTTGTGGCATGTTTTTAACCAAGGAATAGGATCCTCTATTTTCTTCATCACCGTGAATTGTGAAAACTTTCTAGTCAATAACCAATAAAACATGTTTAATTAATCGCCTAAGTTGTTGTCGCCATGTTGTATAACAACAGGTTCATGCATTTCAGTTTGCGTATATCGAGTTATGGATGCACTGGCGAAGTTCGGAGAGCACGTTGTTCGAGGCTCGGCCTCGAGCAACTCTTACACATCTCTCGTGCTCTCCAAACTTTCCGCGTGCACCATAACTCAATATACGCACGCTAAGTATCAACCAATTCTTTATTGAGACACATCTACTAAACACTGTTCACACTTGAAATTCCATTGCTTAATAAGATGTGAAGTATTACACAGTGCCGAACTTGGATGTTGAAGAACCGTCTTTATTTTCATTATTTGCGTATTCCTGGAAAGCTGCTTCAGAGTTACGATTTACGCAACTAAACAACTATGACGAGTCTTACAGACTCTGGAAACAAAGATAATAATTTACGACTAAATTCAGTTCTTTAAAGCCTGTTTTCGACCAGCGGAAAATTTTTATTCAATGATAATCAAATACGGTAGTTTGAGAACGTTTTACAAAATAAGACTGGGCGCTTGGTTAAGACAATTTTTTTAAAACGGTTTTTAAATTCAGTCCGAAATTAAGTTTTGAAAATTCAAACACGCTTTTTGTCGTCGCTTCACTTCACCGTCAGTTTTTCACTTAGAATTTCTCACCTTCTTCAGATGTCCCATAGATTGCTTATTTTAAAATTTTAAAATCCCGAAGACCAAACCTCTAGCGGAATTTTTTTAAAAAAAATTCTCTCTGCAAATGTATCTATAGAGGATAATACATGGGCGCGCGTAGATATGGAATATCTCTTCGAGTGTTCAACTTGATATTTTCACTGGGAAGGATATGGAACGCCACCCGAGTCCCGGATGTGATCTCGTATGAATTTTGAGTGGCGTACCAGTGAAACACTCGTGTTTATATAATAAAGGCCATTACGTGCTTTCTACAATTTCAGTAAGTAAATTCAACGCTCATGCTGCCTACGCCAAAACCCTTGGCAAACAAAGATAATTTAGAAAATGAAAACCATTTTATTCTTAAAATGACTACCACAATTTTCTTCTCAATATATCACGAAATCCGAACCCCAGTTTGGTCGCAACTAAAAAGCAAGCATTTAGGCTTAAGGAACTAGCAACAGCTGGGAAAATATCAGTAGAACTTTATATTCAATTAAATTCAATCATTCGATAATTCATTTTTGTCTAATCGTGCAAGCAGCTGTGCAGTCAATATCGAGGCTGTATTGTCTTCATTTAGACCCTTTGATGCATACAGTGAATATTTTAAGTTATGATTTCAGTAAAACTTTCAGAGAATAAAAGTGTCATTACTTTTATATAGTATTTTTTGGAGAATTAATTTAGTTCCATATCATCATCGCTAAAGAGTTTGAATCAAAATTATTTGTAGTATTCTCGAGTTCTTTCCTTTTTTGTTTGCGTCGAATTCGATGAGAAAAGCCCCAAAAACATAAATATCCATCCTCCTATGTGATATGTTGCCGGCTGCACAAATAATCTCGAGTCGCTAAGTCTCACGTTTTCGGAACTTCGTGAAGGTTTAGTGATGCGTTAGATGTTACTCACTGCATAAATTATCCAGTTATTTTGTGGAATTATCTGTTGTCCAAATTAACCACGTCTCGTTTAATCGCTCCAACATAAAATCATGTAAAACAATGTTTTGTAAGAGGCGGCCAAATTTTAACTTCCTTTGTAACTGGGAAAAGAAGAGAGGAAGAGCCATTTTAAGGACCAAAGACATAATTGCAGTTACACTGAGTTCCGAGATGATAGGATTTAAGACCCAGCACTGGATGTAATCAAAACTATTTTTCCCCTTCCTCTAGGGATATTTATGTATTCTTTGGCTTTTAGTTCTCAACAAGTGAGCGACCAGTTAAAAGCTGGTGTGCTGGTAAGATCGCATGAAGATAGCAATTCGGTACGTTATGCGCGCACCAATTAAGGCAAGAATGTTTTCCTCTTTGTCATTTTGAAGACAAACGATCCTATCAAACGGCGTCGTGTTTATGTTGCCTTAGAACCACTAATGTCACGTAAAATAAGCCAAAGGAATTGCGATTCTAGTTTTAGGAAGTCTAGTTTTATTCCGATTGATCACCTGTAGACGGATATCGTCTTGCTTTGAATGCACAATGCCATGATAATCCACATAGCTGACGATGCAAGGCGACCTCTTCAGTTTGTTCCGTGCTTTGTAAGAACAAAAAAAAGTAGGAAGCTGTAAATTGACCAAGTTGAAATCCATTGCTCACATAACTATTGGGCCGTTTTTGTTGCTGTTGCTCCACATTTTTAAATTTAATTATTTTTTTAATTTGAAACATTTCGACACTTTGTTTTGCTATGTATGTATTTCAATTTTAGCATTTTGTAGCGTGGGAAAGAAACTCTTGATTATTGTTTTAAAACGTAGTTTCTAAATGTGAATTTCGCATTTATTTTCCCATATGTTTAATATTTCGGAAGCTAACTTACCACAAGGCGAATCTTCTGTAAAGTCTAGTAAGAATAAAACAACTGAGGAGTTCCGATTCAACGCTAACCTAAATCGATCTATATAATTATTATTACACGTGCTAATCGGTCAGTCAACTTTTACAGAACTGAATCAGAGCTCGAAATTGAGAACGTTTACTTGCGTGAGATTTTACCTTTATAACTAGACGCGCTAAGAGCATTTCACTCGAGCTCCGTGCTGCAATATCAAATCGAACTTTACAAGTAAGCTTGTTGATCTCAATAAGAAGAGTTAAAGCTTAGATATTTACCATTCAAGCTGCTTCGTTGCGTATCCTCTTTATCTAATTGCATGATGTTTGCCTCATCTTCGAAGTTTTGTTTACGGCAGTTCTTGACTTTTTGGTTCGGCGTTCGTCTCAGTCTTACTGGAGAATCAATGTCTAGTGTTCATTATATTTAAAAAAATCGTAAACAGCGAGTAGGTACACTCTGTGAGTACTCTGTCGAAAAGCGGCGCACTTAGCTTCTATTGAAGAAACCCACTTCCTTTTTGGTAAATGGTGCATGCGAGAGCTCTCTGAGCAGCACAAAAGAAACATTGACGTTGCTCCTTGCTATTGCTAAATGCGACACCAGTTTGCTGAGTGCTAGTCTCCACTCGTGCACCGACAGCTCAGCGGTGCTCGCAGCACCGTTAGTTTTATCAGAACATCAACAAAATACGAAACGTACAATCAAAGCGAAAGCATGTTGTGTGTGCACACGCTCTAGTTTTAAAAGAATTCCAGCTAAAACTTATCTACGTTTAATAAAACGTTTGCAAGGTAGATTGTGAATCCTTGTTTTTGGTAACCTGAACGACAATAGCAAAATTTCTAGTAAAATTCGATTTAAAACCTTGAAAACCTGCACCGTTAAGGCAGAATACCCTGCCGTATAAATCGATGCGTATTTACCTGAGGGCGTGCGAGATAACGTCAGTACAGGTGTGTACCGTAAAATAACAGTAAAGGCTAAGTAAGTAGGGTGTGCTGTATACATAGGTTATGCTATGTTGCCTGGGAGTTCTTGTAAAAGAAAATAAAAAAACTTTATTTAAGATAATTCAAAACTGAAAACGATCAAAGACTTAAGTTGAAAAGTGAAAACGGCGTTTTGTTGATATTTTAGAGGGTACTACCATCTTGGTAAAGAAAATAAAGACTTTACTAAAGACAATCATCTGAAACTGAACACGATCAAAAACTTAAGTTGAAACTTGTAAACGGCGTTTTGTTGTTATTTTAGAGGGTATTACCATGATCGCTAAGGCCATGCCGGAAAGTATATTTTGGAAGCTCACGAAAATGTGGTTTTAGGAGTATTTCGTGGTCTAACCAATAGCAATCACAAAATTGAAATGGTTCGTGTTCTGACGGTGCCGGCTGAATATACAAGTGCTAATGTATTAAAGAAATTAAAGCATAATGCAATTGTAATTGTATCTATTCTTAAATATTCGAGAAAGAACTTTTAAGAACTAAGTTATTTTCAGTCTAATATCCACAATTTCAAAGTTTTAGACTTCGCAATGTTTTTTCACTTGTGCAAATTTGAACACCACAATTCGAGAAGCTTTTTTCATTAAGCTTTCTACAGTTTGTCGATAGAAGAAAATAAAAGAATATCTGAAGGTATAGTGGAGATGGTTAATTCTTTCACGACGAACGTTACTGTAGAATGTAATAAATATCCGAACTGTTTTAATTTCAGTCGATCTCATTCGGCAGTTTTTAATGGACAGTGTTTTCATTTTGTTACGATGCCGTTTAAACCAGAAGACGTCTCCATACAAGGTTTACAGTGTTATCATAGACGTCATCAGTATTTTAAACTGTTACTCTAAGTCCAGTTTTAAAACAGAAACATGTTTGTTTTTGTGAGGCGCCTTTCCGGAAATCCATTGCTTTCCTATTTACAAATTAAAGCAAGAAACAGCTAAGATTTAAAAAAAAAGGTAACATTAAGTTACCATCAATATTTTCCTAAGACGAAATTCAATTATTTCGAAAAAAAAAAGGCGGCGGCGACTATTTCATTTGGTTTCGCTGGTTCGACCAAGGCTAATTAGCTGGTGTGTTGTATCAAAGAGAGGGTTTCCAGACTCAACGTAGGGTTTAGAAAACCCCTCAATAGAAACATTACAGAACAGTTTCTTGACTAGCTTTAGTGAAATCGATTAGGAAAAAAAATAAAGAAAACATTGTCTTTGCGCCCGTGTTTCAGAATTGTCAATGTTGTTTGCTTAGAGAACGATTAATTTTTTAATGAAGGCGAGTCTTATTTCACACGCCTGAGCATAAATATGGCTCTGGTACAGTAATTTTCGCACTCTTCTTTTGGGGCAACGTTGTGTGACATCAATCCAAAAGGAGACTAATCTCTGATCGTCTCAAGATGATATTGCAGGTGCTGGTGCTGCTGCAACTGAGAAACGCTGTTACAGGTAGAATGGAGTTTTAGCTTAGGTTAGTTAGGTTAGTTTTCGCTTAGCTTAGGTTTGTTCTACAAAATCGGAGATCTCAGGCTTCTTCAAACGAAGAAATCCCATTTACAGAGTGTTTTGGCAACGTAACTTTAAAAAAACCGATATTTTCTTTCAGCATTGCATTTTTCTTTCCGTAGCTAGAACGCGGAAGTTAATGGTTTCTATTCAGTATAGTAAAAATAAAACACACAACAACAACAAGAACTATTAGCATACAACAAAAAAGTGAAAAGGACGAACTTCAACACGAAGATCAAATTCGAAACCGGTGGATTAAAGCGTCAAATGTGTTGTTCCAGATTTCAGCAAATTGAAGAACGTCTTGGTTAAGATTGATTATAAAAATCAACATGCTAATTTAGAATTAAGAAAGTCTACAACCATTCAATTTTAATGGAATTAGTACCAATGAATCTCACGCAAACTGCCATTAAATTATAAATGGATGACGTTTGTTTGTAAATCAGTCCACAGAAGGTTACATTAAGAAAGACAATACTAAACTAACAGTCTCTTTTCATTCACAGCAGGCTCCCCACTACCGCCCAACACACCTCCATTGCCCACGGCTCCTGGGAGCATTGGTAAGAGAAATCTTATACATTTATATCAAATGCAGTCAAACCTCATCAGCCTTATTCAGACAGGGATTTTTGAAACTTCTGTGAGTTGAATTTGTGAAGTGGAAGTTTTCAGAGGCCTTCTACCTTAAACTTTGATTATGTTATAGCCATCAATTACTATGCCGTTTTCTTGTGAACTTTTACTCCTGTTTCAAAGCAAATACTGGGTGCGTATCCTGTCAAGTAGCAATACAATAAAATGAAAAAAAAAAATCCATTTCCATATTAAAGGTTTTGCGCCAGAGATCGTTTTGAAGTAGATCGCGCAGATGATAAACTCCATAAACGTTTGCGGAATTATAGCGGCATTTTATCCGAACCTTTAGCAAGTTTAGAAGTATAACCAAACAAATTTATTAATATGCACGTGTTTGATACATTACATGAAAATGGCAGATAGGCGCAGGATAAGGAAGTTGCACTTTGCATTGCATTCAGACGATGCCAATCTTGATCATGCCTTACGCAGTTCTTGCTATTTTCCCTATTTTGGGTCTTTCCTATTCACAGTGTTTAACTGCTCCTTCGATAGCGATCTGTGCGGATTTGTTCAATCATCGAACGACACCTTCAACTGGACTATAAATTCTGGAAGAACCCCATCTCATGGTACAGGGCCAACCCAGGATGTCTCTGGAAATGGTAAAATATTTTTAGGAAATGTATATAATTTTACCACTGACGACATTTCATTGTTCC